GGGAAGAAGTGTGTGATGGGGTGTACTTGTTAACAAAACCCTGTATTATAGTTATTAACAAAAATACAGGGGATAGAAAGGAGGTGCATGTAAAACCCAACGTGACTTGGCCGAAGGCGTATTTGCGACTGAGAAAATCTTTTATTGTCCCCTTAAAGTAAGATATTATATAAACCTTTCGAAATTTTGGATGTACAATTTATCGATTTTCAATGTTGATTGGTCGAATTGTGATATTCAGTATATGTTGACGCCGGTAGACTAGTTTCACATAATCTAAGGGTCATGTGATATGTGTTAACACAAAATACATGCTCTGGTCATCGGTGTGATACCAACAGGTATTTTGAGCTATTTATAGAAACAGGTGAGCTATTTCTGGTCGTTATTACAATAGGTGTAAGGTCTCACGTGTGCGATATATATAGGCGCGTCATCTTTCAACAGGTAATCACCGACTGGGTGTGATGCAACTCCCTTGCGTAAACCCTCATAATACCCAGGAGAACTTAGAGACATTGATTATATGCTGAGAGGAACCAACGAGGTACGAGTGAATGAATCGCGGAATCCCGATCTTTTAGCGAGGAATTTACATCATCTATTCACGAACGACATGATCCAGCGTTCGAGTGGGATATTCGTTACTCATTGACACTCTAAGGACCGTTCATAATTTAAGGCTAGGGGTGGCGGTGGTGGTAGTGTGTGTGTGTGGTGATGATTTTTATGGATAAGCATGTACAATGTGAATGACTTAACCCCCCCCCCCCCCTCCCTCACACACACAAACACACAAAGTACAAAGTAAGTGACCCCTGCATGTTATGTACAAAATCAATGGCCCCTTCCCAAAAGTTGTATGCATTATTTAAAATAATATAAAATATTTATATGTACACAATCGCCTCCCCCTACATGTGCACAAAATTGATGACTCCCTACCTCCCCAGAACAAAATGTGTGACCCCCCTTAAAGTCATCATCATAATCATATCACTCACTCACTCACACAACATTTATGTACAAAGTAAGTGACCCCCTGCATGTTATGTATAAAATCAATGGCCCCCTTCCCAAAAGTTTTAAGCATTATTTAAAATAATATAAAATATTTATATGTACACAATCAGAAGTGCTAAGGGGTGCTAGGTGAAGTGGATGAGAATGGGGTGCTAGGTGAAGGGGGTGAGAATGGGATGCTAGGTGAAGAGGGTGAGAATGGGGTGCAAGGTGAAGTGGGTGAGCATTGGGTGCTAGGTGAAGGGGGTGAGATTGGGGTGCAAGGTGAAGTGGATGAGAATGGGGTGCAAGATGAAGTGGATGAGAATGGGGTGCAAGGTGAAGTGGATGAGAATGGGGTGCAAGGTGAAGTGGATAAGAATGGGGTGCAAGGTGAAGTGGATGAGAATGGGGTGCAAGGTGAAGTGGATGAGAATGGGGTGCAAGGTGAAGTGGATGAGAATGGGGTGCAAGGTGAAGTGGATGAGAATGGGGTGCAAGGTGAAGTGGATGAGAATGGGGTGCAAGGGGAAGTGGATGAGAATGGGGTGGAAGTGGTGAATGGGGTGCTAGGTGAATGGGGGAGAATGGGGAGAATGGGGTGCTTGGTGTATGTGAGGTGAGGTGAAAGTGGGTTTTACGTCGTACTTGAGAATATTTCGCTCATATGACGACGTGCATGCGTGTGTATGTGTATGTGCGGCTGCTTGTACTAGCCCAGACTTAAGCTGGTTTAATAGTGCTAGCCCACTGAGATACCATGCCGCAGTGTAGCATGAATACCCCACTCAGACACATTATACTGACTCCGAGCCGACCAGTCCTTGTTGTACCCATTAATGCCGAGCGCCAGGCAGGGACCAACAAGTACCATATTTTAACGTCTTTTGGTATGACGCGATCGGGGATCGAACCCGCGACCTTCCGCTCTCCTGGCGGACGCTCTAACCACTACACCACGGAGGCGGTCGCTTGGTGTATGTGATGAAACTGGGTGCAAGGTGAAGTGGATGAGAAAAAGGTGCAAGGTGAATGGGATGAGAAAAAGGTGCAAGGTGAATGGGATGAGAATGGGGTGCTAGATGTATGGGATGAGAATAGGGTGCTATGTGAATGGGAGGAGAATGTAGTGCTAAGTGAATGCGATGAATAAGGGTGTTGGGTGTAAGGGGGAAGGGTGCATTGCTCGGTGGGGGTTGAAAATGGGGTGCTCGGTGAATCGTGTCCGTGAGCATCGATCTACGCATTGGAAGCACCAACCAAAGCAACGAACCTGACCTCCCGATCCCGATAATCGCCTCTTATGACAAGCATGGGTTGTTGAAGACCAATTCTAACCCGGATCGCCACGTGTAATGTGGAAATACTAGGTGTGCATGAGTCAGAATCATGTACAAGTTAACAGTTTGACAGGACCTAGTACATTTAACGCCCGAGAATAACAACACTGCTTTGACCAGAATAACGTCGTGACGTCTTCACTGCGATTTTCACAGAAGTAGAGCAAATATATTTTAAAAAGTTCAACCCCATTTTCTACATCTCCCAGGTATTTCAACATCACCCATACCACCACACATCCACCCCATTCTAATTCCCACCCCTGATTTATACACTGTAAACCCTACACTGTGTAGTTTTCTGTATATAGAACATATGCCATATAATTTTTATTACACTTTCTCCGTAAAGTACAGATTTTAGTACTTTTGTGGGGTTGAACCCCATCCGGGATTCGAGACATGTGTCATCGTATCCCAATTGCGTAGATCGATGCTCATGCTCTTGATAACTGGATTTTCTGGTCCAGACTGGATTATTTAAAACCGCGGCATATAGCTGGAACAAAGGTTAGTACGGCGTTAAGCAACAAACAATGTTTTTTCTTCCGAAACAGGTATTATCCATTAAGCTGTGGGTTTTCTTATTTACTGAATATACTAGAATGCCAATCAAATAATTCAAATAAGTTGTTATTATTACCTGTCAACTACAGATCAAAAGCCAGTACAGCAAGACGTGAACCCTCCCGCAAAAGAATTCGCAGGGGGGTAACACCATCCATCAAAACATTCCCTTACACTATTATGATTGTTTGTTGTTTAACGTGGCACTCCAGCTATATGTCGGCGGTCTGTAGATAATCGAGTCCGGACGAGACACTCCAGTGATTAATATCGTGAGCATCGCTCTACACATTTGCCAAACGATGACATGCATCATCCAAGTCAGCGAGCCTGATCGCCCCATCCTCTTATAGTTGCCTCTTGCCACAATTACAGTCCGTTTGAGACAAAATGATACCGATGAATTGCAATCTAACACAAAAACAAAGAGCTATAAAAGAATAAAACCAACGCAGAGTGCAATAAAAACAACAGAGGAACTCTAGAAAAAAAATTGGATAAGAAAAGTTGTTTAAGAAACTGTCACCATTTATTTGTGCGTTTTCCAAGTTTGTTACAAGGGCGCATTGGCAACTAAAGGAACAGCGCCAAAAACGAGATGCACGTGCATTAGTGACGTCAGAGACATGTGATTACTGCTGATTGACAAAGTGAGGGAAAATGAAAGTCTATAATTTACAAAGTCTATGATTTCTTCAAGGATGAAAATGACAGGGGGGTGACCCAAGTATGCAGTTACTAAGTACATACAGCGCACTGCCTGTGCAGCTGGGGTACGTGTCATCTCGCCAACTCAAACATTTGTTGAGAACCCGTTAACGCACGTGCATCTCGCTTTTCGCGCTGTTCCTTTAGTTGCCAATGCGCCCTTGTAACAAACTGGGAAAATGCACAAATAAATGATGACAGTTTCTTAAACAACTTTTTATATTTTTGTGACACAAATTATGCAATTTTTTCTAGAGTTGGTCTGTTGTTTTTATTGCACTCCGCGTTGGTTTGATTATTTTATGTCTATTTGTTTTTGTGTTAGATTGCAATTCATCGGTATCATTTTGTCACAAACGGACTGTAAGCAGGGACTGTTATCCTGCGTCTTCACGGGTGAATACGCCGTCCGCCGTTTCAAAACCATGTGTTACCAAACTAATAGTCAAAGGTCATTTGTCCCATACAGCATAAAACTTCTAAATCTTCCTCCAAAATTGTAATAGTGAAATCAATAATGTGGCACGAGTGATTATTATATTATGTACTTTGATTATGATTCATCACTATATTGTGGTTAGCTTGACATTTGTGTGTGTATATATGTGTATATATATACATAAATTTATTTGAAAATAAAGTTTATCTCTATCTCTCTGGCGGTGGGGTAGCCTAGTGGTTAAAGCGTTGGCTCGTCACGCCGAAGACCCGGGTTCGATTCCCCACATGGATACAATGTGTGGAGCCCTTTTCTTGTGTTCCACGCCGTGATATTGCTGGAATATTGCTAAAAGCGGCGTAAAACTAAACTCAGTCAGTCATTTAGTCTTGTGTCCCCCCGCCGTGATATTGCTGGAATATTGCTAAAGGCGGCGTAAAACTATACTCACTCACTCTCTCACTCACTCTATCTCTCTCTATGGAGTCCCAGGTCGACCTCGGTTTTGGAATAGCCGGTAAAAGAATCACTTCTTTTTCTTATTGCTATACAGCGATACAGACCTCTGTACATAATCAGATATTCATACCACATGGTTATTCAACCATGGGTGTGCATTGAATCCTTGATCACGTTTTAGTTCTGCGGAATAGTACTTTCAGAACTGAAGTGTAATGTCGTAGACATTTGGTGCACAGCAGTGGTGGTAAACAGAAAATACTACTCTGAATTAATCATATTCACACATACAAGAATTATGGAAATGTTCTGATAATAAATTACCTCACTGAAAAGTGTCAAAAATTACAACCTGGGTATGTCTACTCTAACTTTGGCATTCTCTTCTCACGTTAATGAAACAAATGGAAGCAGACTACAGATTGGGATTTTTAACCAATCAGAAAGCCGCCTCGCTTTAATTCCGATCTTGATGAAAGCAGCCATCTTTGTTGGTTCCCCACCACACCCAAGCGGTTGGAGCGAGTGACGGACTCGATAAGGGTCGATCTTGGACCCTTTTTGGAGCCCTCTGTTATCTCGCAAGACAGATGGAACTAGAAAATATTGTTGCCAATACAGTATATTTGAAAGCGAGAGAAGGTAAGCCTGATTATGCTGGCAATGTCGACCGCAATAGATCACAGTGTGTTTACATTTCAACCTGACGACTCGATGCAGAATCGCTCAGCGCTTAGAAAATTGCATTGTCTGGATCCATAAGATGCGATTTTAATCGGTATGAAACATTAAGCATGTGCTTGATCGAACTAATTTTGTCCCGGAGTCGAAACTCATTTATTCAGCGGTGATTTTGTAAGTGCTATGAATGAGATTATTTGCATTGACAACCGGTCGGTGATCCGACAGCAGTGACACATGACAGCATTAGTCGTAGAGGGGCCAATTTTCGCAGATTTGCAATTGTACGACTCACGTTACCCAAAACTAGGATATCTCCCGATGGTGTATGTTTCATTATAAACGGAAATTGTTGTGGAGAGAAACAGTAGATAAACAGACGAAATGACCGTTCAGTATGCTTACGCTTTACATTAGCAGTGATAGAAAATGAGGTCAAAATGTGCCCATCACACACTGTCGTCTCAATTGATTTGTTAAATGAATTAGAAGGCATGTGCATTTGTGTTATGTATGACAGTCTAATATTGTCATTCAATAAAGTAGATCCTTTTTTAATGTCTTTCTCGTGGATAACCCTTTAGTCGTTATTTTCTTGGCCTTTGAAGAACCTTTTCACCAATAAGACCCTATGATTCTCTAACAACATGTATTTGGTAACTGAATCATCCTCCATTTCAATCATTGAGTTAGAACAGAGTCCAGTTAGGTTCATACTTATCAAGACTTTCTGAACTTAAGTAGATTATATTTTTAAAAAGCAGCCCTTCTCTCTAGAATTGTTTTGTTATGGATATGTTTGCCATTTGTGGCCCTGCCAAAATGTCACAGTCATATAGCAGAAACAAACAACCTATTTTGTCTCTCAACAATATCTGTCAGAGTTTCTGTCTTTATTTGGGAATGTGTCAGAAGTGTTACATCAAGGGACTCTAGGTTGGATTAGGACCATTGGATAGTTGCTCATAATATCCATCACAGGTTTATCTGGTCCATGCTTGGTTTTGGCTTGCCAAAAGCATTGTTTTACTATGCACAACACTATATAAATTTAAATGTCATCACATAGACACATTCTTTTTAAGACCAAAAGATATACTTGATCATAGTCTTTTGTCTGGGCATGAGTTGTTCAGTGAACTAATGTACAAACTGCTTGTTGCGCAGTGTCCATCAGACTCTTAGCAACTATAACCTGATGGTTTTGAGATTGATAAAGTAGCTCTGATTTTGCTTCCTTGTGTTTTAATACAACCATTCTTGTTAACCATTATTTATTGTCATAATGTGACATTTCCAACCATGTTTTGGTTCATTATCTTAATATATGTCTACTTTGTCATTGCCTTGACTATGGTCAATACATCTTGTTGAAATCTTGGTTATGATTTAAGACCATTGTTTCACGGGTGAACTAGTCTGTTAGTGTTTTAGCCTTTGGTGCTTTACTGTCTTAGACTTCAGTCGTTAGACAGAAAGAAGCCCAAGTTTGAGTAAGGTTATCTTTAGGTGAGCAAGCTCGGCTTGTAATAGTTTTATGAAAACTCAAGAATCTACAGAAAATTATATAGGTAAGAAGCGATGTTTTGGCAAACAGCTCTGTGTAGCTGTTCTTGCATTATCTTTTAAGGACATGTTAGACACCCTGACACGTGCAATCATTCTATCTGAAGGTTCTGCAACAATGTCAAACAACTGGTGGATGTGTTTAGCACCAGTTATCTGCACCATATATGTATGGCACCACAAGCATGAGAGTTACCTAGGGACGTCAAGCATATTGTGCACAAAGTTAACAAAACTGCTGGCCAAAATAACAAGTAATAAATGCAATAAAGTATACATCAGTGTTAATGTGAAACAAGAAATGGTGATTTGTTTGATGTGCGTATCAAACATGTATTTTCTATAGCGTTTCAGTGACTGTTTTTAGCCTAGTAACACATGCATAATGTTTGTGAGTTCAGCTGCTATAGTATGAGTTTTAGGATCACAGAGGTGTTCAACATTTAGCAGAAAGATTATGACATAGGATCTGTACACCATACATTTTTCATATTTGGACTATATGATGTACAGGGAAACAATTTCAAAAGATAACTGTTCATCCAACCTTCACATACTGTCGGTACCAGGCTACCTTACGTAATATATATCTGGATATCGGTTTGTAAATGTTCTTTCACAATTGGAAACGTATGTTATTGTACATACATTTCTATACATTGATCTTATAAAAGTAATTCCCTTGAATTATTTACCAGACACTGTATTGTCGTCATTATTATGAAGCTCCATTTATTGATGTCCCAAGCTTATCTATTCAACATGTTCATATCAATAAAAAAATATAACTTCGAAATGTATCTAACAATTTTTCTTTTTGCAATGAAAATGTTATTAAATGATAATGGCTTTAGAAAGTGTTATAGCATGTTATTTGCTGCTGGTTATTATCAATTGCTATTGCATGTTTTTTATACAAAAATGCAAATTCCTATAGAATAAAAACTCCCAAGTCATAATAAAGGCCATAAGAATTTTGCAGTGCAGGGTATGCATATTTGAGTGTGGATCTTTCCTGAAATGAAAAGCTGGTTACTATGTTTTAAGTCATATTCTCTTTCTGTACTTATATTATCCATTTGATGCTATGTCAAAGTTCTTTGTCTGCCCGTTAGCAATAGGATAATTTCTCCAAAGACATTTCATATTCAGAAAAAAAATAATGCACATATTCCATGTATGCTGGAGGCGTGGGTGGATCTGTGATCTAAATCCCCAGTCTAAAGTGTAACAATTTACAGTGTTGCATCCTTTAGCATGCTTAGTCATAACAGGAGATAATGGTAGTGAGTTTGAATCCTTGTTATATGATCTTCATCAGCACCATACCTATGCTCATGGGCATTATCAAAAAGGTAATTATCTATGATCTCCACCACTTTACATGCCTTACACTTTCCTCATGCATGAAGATGTTGTCAGTTCACTGCTGTTATGGGCACCTCTTCAAAGGTAGGGAGGTGGGATAGCCTAGTGGTTACAGTGTTCCCCTGTCGTGCTGAACACCTGGTGTTTGATTCCCCACATGGGTACAATGTGTGAAGGCCATTTCTGGTGTTCCCTGTCATGATATTTTTGAAATATTACTGAAAGTGGTGTAAATCCGAATTCACTCACTCTGCAAAGGTTCCACTTGTTGGGCATTATATAATACAACAAACAACTTCAGATTTCTATTGTTTCCCAGGTTCCAGTATGTGTCAATGCATGTCAACGTATTGTAATGTCACTCTGGCAAATGGGATCCCTAGATTGTAATACCGGTAGTTAAAGAGAAAAACTGAAGCACCCCAGTACTCCTTTATTTGATACACTTAAGTAGTTACATCTAGTGGATGAGAACATAAGAAAATATTTTTTGAAAATATTTGACAGTATCAACATGATCAACAATGACATTTACTTTCTATTATGATATAACTGAATATGTTTATCTATGGGATGCCATAGCACAACATGAGCAAAGAGTTTATATTTAGTGTATAGTGTGCCAGTGTACAGGAAGGCACATTCGTACTGCAAGTAGAACTGAGGCAAGAGCCCTCATCTACATCGAAGTTACCATTGTAGCTGACATGCATAATTTGCATCAGTACTGGAGGGGTACTGATAATTGCCAAATTTATTCATCAGGTTTGATTACTCAAAATGTCAAATTGGCATTTATTATCTATGTGTTTTGATCTGAGTGAACTTTCGTGTAATTTGACGAGAGATTAGTAATTGCTGATGATTAGGTGTAATAAGCAAATCTCTGGTTGTCCGGTAGAACCACTGTCGTGATGATAGGGCATTGCTTATTGTCATGTGTAAGGTTAGCTGAATCATGAGAGTCACTCACTCATTGTGTAGAGCATCTTTGAAATATTTTTGTACATAACATGTTAGTTGATAACTATCTCAGTATCTGCAGTGTTATAGGACAGCCACAACACTATGATGGTAGGCAGTGTTCGCTGTATAAAAAATGCTTTGCGTTACTAAAACGCACAGCCCCTAGAATCTTGCGTGTCCTGGGAAGTGGCATGGACTCTAGAGGGGGTCTGGAGTCCCCATGTAAAATTTTGAAGTTTAGACATCATTTCCTGGCATTTTAGAACATTTTTTCATCATTTGTAAGTCAAATTAGCTGAGAGAAACTTTATTTTATTTGTTTTTTTTTCCTTGGGGATAATACGGTTTTTCGGTTACCTGTTCCCAGAACACAAAATCTTTTTTTTGTGTAGAACTGTAGAACACACAGGTAGAAAATATTGTGCATGAAATGTTGATTTATTTGCGTGAAACATGCAGGATTATGCGTTAACGTGAACACTGGGTAGGTTTGTAGAAGTAAGTCATTGTACATTATGCAGAATTTTAACTTTTTAAGTGGCATTTAGAAGCTGGTATGATGAGGGAGAACACATTTTATAGTTTGGGAGTTTCTTTGTTGCAATAGAAATGATGTTTAGGTGTAGATGCTAACATGCTTATCAAACAAGTGATCACAAGCTTCGAAAACAGGGTTAACATCATTAAAAAATTGTGTTATCTACATTGAAATGTTGCAGCATATGCAATTAAGAAGTTGTCCTTCCATAAAACTTGTACTTCTTCCTGATATTGAAACTTGTCGAGGTTTGACAGTTAAAAGCATGATGAAGTGACGCCAAAAGGTCTTACATCCTGATATATTGGTGTGACTTTTGATGGTTTAAAACCATTGGACAGCTGTCCAAGACCATGAAGTCCATAATTTGTTATGGCCATTGCCAACGTGGTCAATAATACATTATTATATTATGCAGCTCTTATTGAGAAGGTGTAGATACTTGAAATGCCAAGTGGCAGTATTTTTTAAAGATTGAAGCAACAATTAATTAGTTTTCCACTTGTCGTGAATAGATAATTGAAATGTCAAACCTCCCCGTTTTAACATGATCAAGATTTCACTTGGTTATGTATACCATATTATTCTAGCATTTATCACACTCCTCATATATCATCCATCATTTTCACTGAAATTGAGTGCTAATGATTAGTAATATGGGCTATTGTCACTGGACATCATGTTTGTTTACTATAACACAGGCTTTATACTTGTGGCTAAAGTAAAAGGTGGCTTTTCATTTTGACAAATGGTCTTTCACTATTACATTACGAAACATAATATAGTCATGAGAAAACTTATTGTTGCTTGGTCCTTGACTTTTTAGTAACATTTTTAAATGAGGAATTTAATTTCCAGGTACAAGTCATGTGACCTTTTGCCATGTTTGTATCTGTGACCAATGATTCATCAATTAAGTAAACATGGTTAAGTTGGAAGTCATATGTTGCAAGATTTTGATTGTGACTGGAACAAAGTGTGGACCCATGTTCTGGAAATAAAACATGATTGGGTGAATTAAATGTAAATGTGATATTGAAGCTTTGAGATGTGACCTCATTATAGAGTTACAAAATTCATTTGTATTGTCACAAGGCCACAAAGATTATCATCTGCAGAGTTTCCATATTCCAAATGGTAAACATAGAAGTCCACAAGGGAATGTCTTTTGTCCTTCCAGAATTTCTCTAGTCTCAGACTTTCAAATTTATGTTGATTTTCAACCTTGGGCACGCACAGTGTCACAACCATGTCATCACAAGAAAGATAAAATAATGGTGGGGGAGCAGTCTAGTTGTTCACCCCACTGAAGACTGATTAATTGAGATGTTCTTGGTGTCCTCAGCAAAGATATAGCCTGAATAATGTTGTACAAAAACCCTTATAAAACCTTAACCTCCTGAATGGTTATGTTGTAAATTCAGTCATGGTAAAAATGCTATTATTCTATTGTTTCAGTGTTTACAGTTTTGAGATACTTTATTATCTTTAGTGTTTGATACCTTTTCAAAGTACATTATAAACCTGAAACATAAAGCTGGTAATCTCATAATTAAAGAAAAGAGTAACAAGCTCACCTTAAATATATTATGTTTTGTTATGCACTTAACACCTGTATCACTTATTTTTTTATTTTTCTGAATTCAGTGATAGGTTACCTTAGTTTCTGATGCTATTTGTCCTGCTTGTTCTCAAATCATGCCATCTTATGTTTCGATTTGCTAGAGATGTTCCTTTCCTATAAAACCTCATGTAAACATATTCTACTCTATGTTCTAAGGGACCGTTCATAATTTATGGCTGGGGTGGGGTGGGGGTGGTGGTGGTGTTTTTTTCACCCATTTTGTTCTGGGGAGCTAGGGGGGTCATCAATTTTGTACACATGTACTGGGGGAGTGTTTGTCAGCAATTTTGTACAAAAAAATGTTTAAAATTATGCTTAGAAATTATGGGAAGGGAGGGGGTCATTGATTTTGTACATGACATGCAGGGGGGTTGCTTATTTTGTACATAAATGTTAGAGGGGGTCATTCACATCGTACATGCTTCTCAATAAAAATCATCATCATTCCCCTAGCCATAAATTATGAATGGTCCCTAAGGAAGAAAACGTGGCGTTGTTGGCCAAAAGATTATATTTTTATATAAGATATATTGTGAGACAGGTATTTATGGTGCTGTACTGTAGTATACATATTGCAATATACTGGGAGCTAAAGTGTTTGACGGTGATACACACTGATCGTACATGCCAATCCTATTTTCTAAATACTGATCTAAATATTACTCAGGATGGTCTTGATCCCCGACATTTTGTAGTCATAGCTATCACTACTGATTCAGGGGAAATAGCGTGGGAGTAAAATCATTTCCAAGTTTTTGCTGTTTCAATCACTTTTGAAGGGAAACATTTGAAAATGAATATCTGTGTAGATTTTAGGTTACCAATACAAATATTGGCGAAACTTTTGATATACCTTTTTACCCAGTATACAGGAACTGGGGAAGAATAATGCAGGATGTATCGTTTTAAAAGCATATGGTATACTAGTACTACACTTTAATGATGAACATTCCAATTGATTGGTGTTGAAATACCAAGACTTTAAATACATGCTATTACATGGTAGTATCCATTGGACTTCAGGTATATACTTTAACAACCTATTATCAACACCATCATGATGAAATGGTGGTATTATTCAGGTATTGAACTTTACCTTAATCACTCACAAGTGATACATATTGGCCTTTATTTTGTATTGAATAATGACATGTAGGAGAAGTAAAAATATATTGCAATTATGATTCAAGTATTTGATACATACCACTGTATATTACATGCAGTTTTTACATTTGTAATTTGTTATGAACATAGCAAAAAATATGCTTCAACCAAATTTAAACATTTTTTACAACTTTGTAGTTGTTCACCATTTTGTAGGATGTTGCAAGGGTCATAACGCATGCATAATTGACATATTATATACAGGAAGCTGGTCGCAAATAGTTTCACTTTTTCAGTGACAGGAAATAGTTGCTAATTTCAATTTGACATGTCACTTCTGTAAATGTTTTCAATGCGAAAGTATAGCATGATAATAATAACATAACCATGTATTTAAACAGTATTATGATAAATATTCAGCATGTTCAGTAGTATTTGAAACGTGATACAATGGTAATACTCAGCACCTGTTACCATAGTTACTAACAGGTATAGAGACAGCTTATAAGGACACCTACAACAGACTGAAATTCTACAAGTTGACAGACTGATAAAGAATATATTTTAAGACTTATGAATGATAAATTGAAGAGTATCTTATCCTTACATAAATTAATTACTTCTGTGTATGATTGAAATTGTAAGCTGGACCTACTTTTGAGGTCTTTTACTTTAGTAATGAGTCAGTGAGTTTAGTTTTATGCCGCTACTTTAGTAATGAAATTATTGATCTCATTTAGCATGGCATTTAAACGCACCTGGACTAATATTACAACATCTGCTGTTCCCAAAATGGTTGGTAAACATTATATTAATAATACTGATATTTGTACTTTTTGTTAAAATACATATAGTACCCTGATAGAACCTCAGTCAAAATAGGCAAGAATACTTGGTGTGGAGAATAAGCTGACTTAAAATGTCATGGTTATTACTTTTTCCCAGGCTTTTTTTTTAGTCAACTCCATTGTATAGTTGGCATGTGATACAGATGTTTACTGTGCGAAATAACCACTGGCACGCTAGCCCGAGCCTAGTAAAAATCCAGTCGGGCCAGTAAATCTCCACAGTCACTGGCACGACTGGTTAGTGAATTTTCGTGGGGTCATTTTGTAAATATTATGTATCACTCTCTCCGACTCGTTGAGTTATAATACACTTTTAAATCATGCAAGATTATGGCCTGATAAAAATGTTCATCATATTAGCAGCTTAATGATGACTTATTTAAGTTTTTTGAGCATAAACAAAATATTTCAGAATTCAGACATGTGTTTTCTTATTTGTTTTGATGGTATTTTACCATTTTGTAATCATTTGCTTAGTTTTTTACTTTCAGATTTTGGGCTAGTGAATTATTTTGCGGGCTAGTAACCTTCAGGCATAGCAAGCCCGACATCAAAATTTGGAAACTATTTTGCACACTGATGTTTTATGCTCAATATATGGCATGTATTGTGGATAGGACAGTGGTTTATTGAAAATGTCTCTCTTTACAGGCGGTGGCGGCAAAAGAAAAGGAAAAAGTAAGAAATGGAAGCAGATACTGAGATTCCCCCATATATCACAATGCATGGATATGAAGACAAAAATACGTAAGTATCAGCATGGATGATATCAATGACGACTGATGCAGGATATCTATCAGAATTTATCTCCCAGATCGAAAGCTTGTACATGAAGGAAAGCTTCATACCATGATTGTATAACATGAGCATTGTAGGCAATGTCAGCTCTCAGCTCTTTGGGGAATTATCACTTGTCATCACCGGATAGTATCATTGACCGTTGATAATAATCAATTGTTTTTTTTGCAAACTTTGCAAAACATTTATGAGTAAATAATCCTGAACATATAATTGGGTATTATATTTAAGCCTTTGGTGTCCAAATTGAAGTAAGAGGTGACTAATCTCAGGTTGGACTACCTCAGATTTCAAACACATTAGGTTCATCTCCTCACTGTGTCATGATCATATGGCTCATATAATATAGAATGTCAGTGAATGAAATATGTATGGCATTGTTTTGTTTCTGATTCAGATTTGATAATTTACACATCTGAAGTAGAATGTTTGCTGATTGTGGCTGGATTGTTCAGATATTCATGTAGTCTTGAACCCTATCAGTTAATGTAGATTATATAATGCTGCCTAATAAGCTTAATTTCTAATAATAGTCCACAGAAAGTACCAAGGCCAACTGAAAATGATGCTATGAGCCAAATCTGGGCTAAGATTGCTTTTTCCTCTGATATGATTTTCAATAAAATGAATGTTATATGAATATGCTGAAAGTTTTCTGTAATAGAATGTCACATTGACCTTGGAGCTGATGGTGATTTGTGGCAGTCCGCTCATGCTATTCCAGATCTCACCAATATGAATGCTATTTATTTTAGTAGATTCACATTTCAGAATTAGCATTGTGAGGGAACAGCTGTGTTGGTAAATCACCATGATCAGATGTTTCCATTTAGAGACAGCATGTTTCTATGTCATCTCTGTATTACATGTTTCTTTTGAGATATGTCGTCCATAAATCCAAAGTAGCAATGTTGCAGATTTTGATCCTTTGTCCATACTTTGTCAAATTGTGTAAAACAGATGATAAGAAAAAGGCTTTGGAAAGTGTTCCCCAAGTGAGAATATCTATCATTGAAGGGATTCCCCATCTGGGTTTATGGTGGGTTGCTGCTGGACTCAATTTCAATGATGGGGACAGAGTGTGTGAACGTATTTACCATTTAGTATGAGTTGGGCTCTGAAGGAAGATTACAAACAGAAACAGTATGTTCTCTATTGTAAGAATGTTTTAAAAGTTTGTGATAATACAAATCATCCCAAGGCATCCAAATATGTACACACTCATTTAGATACTGTTGATTTAGCAAGATAATAATGCCATCACAAACTACTGGCAAACAAGGATAAGTTCGACTGGCGCAGAGAGCGCGTTTACGAGAAGTAGGCGGTGCACGGCAATGAGCAAACCCATTTGGTTTGTGAAAGGTAGAGCAGATGTAGGCTAGTGCACATGCATTGCATGCCGATGAAATTGATTCTGCGAGTAACTGCACACGCCTTGCACCTTGCTTCACCCATCACATTAAAGTTGATCGCGGACAACCTGGGGCCCCTTCGCTAACAATGGCAAGTGCCAGTGGAAAACACTTATACATGCTAATACTGGTCAATTGTCAGGTCGGTGCTCAACTTATCCTTGTTTGCCAGTAGGTGGTTTGATGCAACCCCAAAAGAAGGAAAATGATACAAACTTTACTCGTGCCCATGAGAGGGAGACAACATCTTGCCAACCAAGAAACCAGTGAACGATTATTGCATTAATTTCACTTTGCGTTTGATTTTGAATTCTGTAAATTTGGGATGACCATCAGCATGTGGTGGAAAAACTTATCTTTTGGGTATTTGGGGTTACAAATCATCATTTATGGATGACAAGTTGGGTCACTGATGGTGTTTGATCTGACCCCTGAAGTTCGATGGGAATTACCCCTGCAGTTGGACAAGTAAGAAGTCACATGTTTTTGCACCCATGGATGTTTGAAATTGTATTATAGTTACTAATGGTTGATTCTTATTGTAATTATTCACAATATCTACATTATGGTTGAAGTTTCATATTCAACGGTGTATACATTGTTGTTACTGTTAGAAGTATTAACAGAAATACCTCAAACAGTATAAAGGAAGTTAAGACTTGCATATCATCCAATGAAAACTTGTTACACCCTGTAGCACATGTTGCCCACACCCCTAAGTATATTTAATTTAGAAGCTGTTGAAGGATCAAGTGATTTTTGTGCTTTGATGTTTCGTTGCTTTCAAAGTTATGAATTTTCCTCCTGCAGAAATTGACAAAATGAATTCAGGACAATACCTACAAAGTAATTGTAATCATTTATCATTTATTGACATTTAAGTTGTCATAGTTGAGGCTAATACAACTATTCAATTCCTGCAGTTCCCCAGTCAATTGTAGATTTACCTGACAATTGAGTATTTTATTGCTGTTTTATGTATTTGATGTTGACATATTGGAACCAACCGTTTTTCATGATGTATGCTCTTTACCTATGGTGATAAATGAAATCAATTTAATATAATGAAGCTGTATTGTCATAGACAATTATCACATTGATTATTCATAGTTGCCCAGCAAGAAAATAACGAATAAATCCCATAAGCAAATTAACAATGAGATCTTATGTTTGGGTAAGGACAGGTGACCTTAGTTTTCATGTATATAAGGGCTAAAATGAATCCACTTTGAGGCAAATATTATAGCACCAGTACTGAGTAACGAATACCATATTAAATATGAATACAATAACAGGTCAGCAGTTAATGTATTATTCATTATATTCAATGAACAATAACAAATTACATTATTTGACATGTTTTACCATGTTCACTGTGATTCGGACTGTCATGGTTAATTTCCATTTAGCATATCTTGTTTTGATGGGGGCAGTAGGTACATTTCTGGTGCCCCTGCCGTGATAATGCTGGTATAATGTTAAAAGTGTGTAAAATCCTTACTCGCTCACTTACTCTTGTTTTGACAATTAACACTCAAATTCAAATAGAAACAATCCTGTTTATAAATTTTCGATTTTGATTTATGATGGCGAGTAACGAATTGAATTCATGAAGGGATATGGTTTGATTCAGCTGATTACACCAATGAATCATAACATCCCTAATGTATATGGGTCAGTGGGGTAGCCTAGAGGCTAAATCCCTCGCTCGTCACGACGAAGGCCTGGGTTCAATTCCCAACATGGGTACAATGTGTGAAGCCCATTTATGGTGTCCCCTGCCGTGATGTTGCTGGAATATTCCTAAAAGCAGCTTAAAACATACTCACTCACTTACTATATGTATTTATGTCAGGTGAGCTACAGAGCCATGTTGCTCTCGTTTTATGTGTTTCTAGTGGGGTTTACATTTGTTGACTTTCATCTCATCTCTTTTATTCATGCATTTTTCTCTCTTTTTCAGCTATGACTTACAAGTATTTGGTTGAACAACAACCTATAGGAAGGGAGTTGTTTCGATTGTTCTGTGTAAAAAAGCCTGCATTTGCTAGGATCATTTTCTTCCTGGATTCTGTGGTAAGTAGATCATTAACAAAAGTTTGTGTTTATCCTTGAATGAATTCTTGTTTGTCCACCTAGACAAAATATTGTCATAATGAAGGGAGTTGAAGTTGAGCGTACAGGGTGTCTAAGGTACCATGATTCACTTGCAGAGGGTCTGTGGGGTAGCCCAATTGTTAAAGTGTTTGCTTGTCACAAGGAGACCAGGGTTTGATTCTCCACGTTGGTGCAATGTGTGAAACCAATTTCTGGTGTCTCTTGCCCCGTGATAAAGTAGGAATGTTGCTAAAGGTGGCATAAAACTAACTCAAGAACTCGCCCTGCAGAGTTGAGTATCTTAATCATGTCAGGATGTTACGGTTGTGGGTTTGGATCCCAGTGTTTGCCATGATTGTGTCCCTTTGGTTGTCAGCAACAAACTTGTAATGGTGGCTGTCAGCAAAATGGGTTGTATGTGTTTGTTCATAAGACATACTTCACTTCGGATTTTCTTCCCTTGTCAATATGATGAAGTTGACATACCAGGATTCAGCTGAAATAATGTTTAAGGCAGTTTTGAACTCACTCACTTATGGGCATACATCTGCTGTTCCTACTTTTTGAATGCACCATTGTCTGTTGCACATAATGTTTTTGTTCATGTTAAGTTTTCTACATATGTCATTTTCTGTGTAACCTTTTGGGGAATTTGTTTGATATTTTAAAGTTTTTGTGAATGTTTCATCTTCAAAAAAGGTTTTCAATATATACTCAACAAGAAAAGTTAAGGACCACCCCAATATTCAATATTCACGTATCATGTGGATCATAATATGAACTAATAAATACTTTAATATTGAAAATTGGGGTGCTCCTTAACTTTGATTTGTTGAATATATATGTAAAATGTTTACCGTTGTTTATTAAAATTAGTTTGAAAAAGTGAATCCCACATTTAAGGCCATTCAGCCATTGAAAGAAAATACACTGTTGCACCATACAATGTTTAAATGATGATAATATAGAAGAACGCTGCCGGGACCCCCAAAATATGTCGGAATTCACAGATTGTTGGATAATTCAGATGTCAGATTATACAGAGTCCACTGTATAACTTAAGTTTGTTTTCATGAAAAGGCATTGCTCATGATAAATGATTAATATTTTTGAATTTGGATAAGTGACATAAGTGTATCATAAATGTGTATCATGAAAGATTATTATGAGAAAAAAGTTGTTATGGGTTACACTGTCTGTGGAACTGACCACTGTTTATGAAGCTTTGGCCCTATTTTTAGAATGCAAGGCACCACATGGCCTACTCCAGGCAAACGTCCATACCACACTGTTTTTGATTACTGTTAGTGTTAAAGAGATTTTTCCAAAGGATTCTTACAAAGCTGCATTCTACCAAGCCTTTTGTATTTTTGGTTTCAAAGTCAGTAGAACTTTTAATGTAAATATTTGGACTGTTTAGGAGGTTTATGTGTGCTGCCTTGGACTTTCATCATGTATTTGTCGTAATGATATTCGTTTGTTTTGCTCTGGATAAGTCCAAAGTCCCAATCTATCAGAATTCTGTTCAATCGCTTCAGCTGGTAACTGTCAGTATGTTAACATTTTTATGTCCTAAAAGTGATCCCAAAGGTCAAATTCAGTCCAGTAGACTTTGAGACCATGGTGCTGAATGTCCATCTGCACCTGTGGTTTCTCCACAGTGATGAACATCGATAGTATGACCTGTTTCACTTTGGGCTTTCCTCTCACAATAAGTAGAGAGTCTGTGTTGTGTAGTGGCTCTAGTAGCTTCAACTCACTTGCTTAATTCACATCGTTATGATCACAGAAATTCAGTGTTCATGTATCGCTGTGAATATCATACTGCAAGCATGTGTAATTCATCATCAAGTTTGTTGAAGGACTGGTACAGCTACCTGTGGAATAGCTTATATCTGGACATGAAAGATTGACATCACAGCAGTATAGAGAGATTCATGTTCTCATGGGAGGTGCTTGCCATGTGCTTCATGTTAACATGTATGTGTTGTGATGTGTTTTTAATGCAAAAGGTCACCACCAGTATAAAAACACAAATTTTCCTACCTGTGAAGATTATTATAGCATGTGCCAAAGGTATTAAAGATTGTCAGATGTACCACATCAATGTAAGTGATGTTGGTTGGTATGATGATGATGATGATGATGATGATGATTAGGTAGTTGTTGATGTAGTTGTGGAGTTTACCTTCCATGATGATGATTGTAATGATGGACAAAATCACAACACAAACATGTTTCTAATTTGAAAGGTCTTACAACCAATGCAGTGTTTCATATTAGGATGGCCTAGATACCCATCTGTTAGTACTGGTAATGAGGGCCCTGGTGGGACAAACTGTCTGGGCAGTGTAAAACAACTTTAAACTAACTAATCAAAAGTAACAAAATATAAGCATATACTAAAGCAGGGATAAACCTGGCTCAGAAAAGATATGAGATAAAATCTCACATGGGACAAAAAACATGAGATTTTTTCAAGTCTTATGAGATTTAACTGTTCATGACATTGCCATATGTATTTAACTCTATCAACACCAGTCAACCAGAGCCATTTACTTCCATGACACCGAGCTCCCAGAGACTCTGAGGTCATAGATGAAGCCTATGTTTATCAAGGAAAATATCAGCTTGCAAAACATTATTGCTACTACATATCATACACCATTTGAAAGGTCTAATCCTACTGCTTATAATATGAAATTTATTTTTATCATATTATCCAAATAATACAACTACAATGTAAATAAGTTAATATTTAATGAAAATGCAAGCTTACACATTCATAATGTCCAGTTAAACCACGAAGGGAGCAAAAAATGCGGCGATTTTTTTTCCATTTGTAACATGTCATAATATCCCCTTACCTTTTTCTTTTATATTTTAATTTTTATGTAATCGGAAAATTATTATAAACAGATTTCTCAAATAATATGCATGGTCGTCTGTTTCCCGATACCAGTGGCTTTCCGCTTGGTAACGTGATACAACAGTGGGAAATACCTCCGTTTTGGAAGCTTCGTACAAATAACATGTGAGACAATTCGTTTGATGGCCGGAATCGTTCGAAAGCTCTGAACATAAACAATATCACTGCATCCTTGCCAAGAGTATTTTCGCAGTTGTAAGAAGCAATTTTATTGGATAAAAACTGGTTTCTAATGACGCTTTTCTCCCACAGTCTGCTATGAGGATCGTGATTGGTCAAAATAAGGCACGTGACCTAAGGCAGCCAATCATAAGACAGCAATGGATACCGTCCTCGTAAACGAAAACTTTTAGATTCAGACGAAAGTTTTGGACAAAATCATGCTATTCTGAACGTGTTACGCAAAAAATCACCTCATATACGTATATTATGGAACTTAGTGGTCGTATCGTGCTAGGTTATGACCTGTGACCAAAAGGCTTCATGCATATATTTTAGCATTAAACATCGTGTCCGAGCGCAAAGTTCGAGGCGATGAAAGCCGAGATGTCACTTGTATTACATTACACGATCGCACAAAAAAGATGGAAATAGTAAGTTGTAATGCACGTTTGACAACATTTATGAGTACTGCTGTTGATTTTATTCTTCTGTTTATTCAATTTGTTTAATTAAGTGTTTTCAGACATTGTTAAAAGTGACAGATTTAATAAATGAATCATACGTTAGTTAGGTTCCTAAAATTATATGATATATCATTTTGATGTGACTACTGCCTGGCCGGTTTACCTGCCTACGTCGTTCGGGGACTCGTGATGTCTTGGCCGGTTTTCCGGCCTACGGTGTTGAATGGGTTAATCAACTTCAAGTCGATGGTTTCGTTAGCAGACGCTTTTTGGGAGGCATGATGTTGCAGAACACAACTTCCGAACACGAACTCTGTACAGCGTCGTACAGTGCATAAACAACACAGTACTGCGAGGTTCAGAGTTTACCATACTTCTTGCAGCGCAGCTCGTTTTGTACAGCACTGTGTAACGATGTTCGAAGTTCCATACCGGAAGTTATGTTTCGAAGATTAAAAATAGGTAGAAAGCAACGGGAATATCTTTTACAGGACAAAATAACGACAAAGCCTTTCTCAGTAAAATTGATTTAAACACTTTATTTTTTCTAATTGTACAGGTGAGCAGGATGCGATTTTAAATCGCTGCCGATAAATTTGAGAGCGATTTTATAGCAATTGATGCGAGAAAATCGCGATATCGCGGCCCAAGTCAATCCCTGCTAAAGGTTTACTGTTTATCTATCATTATCCTAAATCTCATGTGTGACTACAGCTAACGACACTACTAAATTCAGTATTTGCAAACCACAGATTGCAGCAATTCATCTAAATCAGAACTAGCTGTCCAGCTGTTTCTTTACAGACTGACAATCTGCATTTCGATAGAGCCATTTCAGGTTTAAGATACAACTAAACACCTTGTAAAAAAATTATTATTGTGTAATTTTTTCTGATTTAGTCAAAATAATTACTACTGACTACTGTCTTGTAACACTCAACACCCATAATCAGGAATCTAGGTTATTGCCCTGCATATTTCATATCAATAATCAGGGCTTTCAGACTGATCAGTACTGATAATCATTTGTGATTAATTACTTTCTCTCCGCATTATATACTTGTCCAAAATTTATGATTCGTGCTGTGACCAATTGGATGCCAGTAACAATGCTTATTCAGTGAGGGTTTTTTTGGTTTGAGGTAAATCACCTAAACTGAGTTAATTAATAAATAGCATTCAGTGAAACTCTCCAGGACAACAGAGCTCATTGTAGTTTGTAATTTTGCTCAAAACAAGCTGGAGCTACCTACATCTGTGACAAGACCTACATCTGTGACATGGTGTCTATCACCAGCTGATAACTGCACTGTAGGCCAGTGTTTACAGCTTGAAATTTGAATACTCATAACATCATGGAATTCCCACTTTCAGCCCATTGAATTGTCTGAAGGACCAATGGGTATTGACATTGCTTAGTCAGT